CTAACAGGCTTACAGGCTCCCCCAAATAAGCTACGCTTTACTGAAAGATTCACTACAGTGATTCTTCTAAAGAGAAGACCTCTGCTGTGTAATGATATTCACAGCCATGGCAAGTTCATTAAAGGTTTCCCAAATTTTTCAAAGTGGGATTAAAAACGACTTGAAAAGCATTAAACTGCATTCACTAATACCACAGATAACATGATAATGCAGATTTTAAATCCTCATACAGGGCTTGATGGACACATATTTCCTCAAAGGCTTTGTTTTCTTCAAAGGTGTTTTCAGTGGCTTTGTTTTTTTTAATAATTTCCAGTATTTTGGAATCTGAAAGTCTCTGCACAGTATGTTATTGTCCTGTTAGATAAGCCTATTTTATTATTATTATTAATGAAATTATGTTGCGTTTTAATAATATTATTTTTTAATTAGTCAAATAATCTGTAGATGACTTAATCATTAGTATAACAGTGGCAGCCATTGTATATATTCTCAAATTTTATCTTATAATCACAAGAAAACAAAGTTGGCATCTTGAAATAATGAGCTGGTTATCTTGTCATCTCAAGATAACAATCCAGAAAATTATAGCAACAGCTCAAGGCCTTTCCAGACCTCCGTAGTTAAGTATACAGTAGTGGCTTAGATAATGTGTGTGTGTGTGTGTGTGTGTGTGTGTGTGTGTGTGTGTGTGTGTGTGTGTGTGTGTGTGTGTCTGTGTGTGTGTGCGTGTGTTCTTGTATTGCTATACTTGTGAGGACACGTCCTCACTAGGATAGGACTATATGAAATTTTTGCTCAAGTGAGGACATTTTGCTGGTCCTCACTTGAGCATGTGTTGTTTTCACCACATTTACTTTTTTATTTGAAAACTAAAAGAGCAGAAAAATTCCCTTTTGGGTACTGAGGTTAAGGTTAGGGTTAGGTTTAGGTGTAGTGTTATTTAGCTACAGTAACACAAAAATCAATACAAGTCTATGGACGTCCTCACACTTACAGCAGGACAAATATCCAGAATAAATGAAGTAACACAGTAAAATAAAGTGCTCTCTAACTTATTTTGGTAGAACATCCAGCAGCACAGCACTGTCTGACCATCAGCTCAGCGTCTGATCTTCTCAAACACAGTGCAAATCTGCCCATTACAAAGTGCATAGAAAATGGAGTTAAAGTTTTAGGGTGGACGCTGCTAACTGGCTGACTACACTGGTGCGAGTGAAGAACTAACGGTGGGACCGTTTTAATCCCTAAATTGTAAAGCACTTTGGTTTTAAATGTGCTAAATAAATCAAATGTACTCACTTACTTACATATAACGCTGTAATAGTGCGTTGATTGGTTAGAAATTGCGAGTCTGTGCAAATATTGCGACTCTTGATTGAGTTGGCGTGAGTTTGTGGGCCTGTGCGCATGCGCAGTAGGAGCAGCCACGGTGCTTCGCACGGGCGGTCAGTAGAGAAGAAGCAGAGCTGGAGTTCAGTGGCCGGACTGAAGAAGAGGCGCTGCTGACGCAGAACAGGTGTGTGTGTGTGTGTGAGAGAGAGAGATCAGAGCTCCGCGAGGTCACAGGTACAGGTAGGTCGCGATGATCTGAACTTTTCACCTTGAAAGCGACGCATTTTCACTTAAAAGAGTTTCTCGATTAACTGGCGTTCATTTAAATCCAGCACTGGGTCGAAATTGCGCCTCTTAGAACATTTCTGCTGCTTCAACATGTCACTGATGGTCATCACAGAAAATATGAATGATATTTTTTGCTTTCAAAACATCTTAAACTCTTTCAGAAGGCGAGCTCTACTATTTGCAGACTGTAGGGACAGTTACTGTAAAGGCTGCCCTGCTAGATAAACCAGCATAGAGCAGCATATGCTGTGTTTTGGATGCTGGTATGCTGGTCAACCAGTATGACCATGCTGGGTGACCACCTAAACCAGCACTAGACCAGCATAAAAAGCATAAATCAGCATAGTCTGTGCTGTTTATCTCAGCAGGGTGCAGCGCTCTGTCAGCTGTCTGAGGCAGTGAAATACTGTTTTACAGTTATTACAGCTGTTATAGCTTCAGTGAGTTAGTACATTTGTGCTTTATAGTCTAGTATAATCTACTGGATTTGGAGATTAGATATAAAATAGGCTAGTAAACTTTCTAAAGCAGAATTATGTGATGTGTTGTCGCTCAATGAACCCCTCATATTAATTAAATAAAGCTAAAAAAATCACTTCTCCAATTCTTACATCTTGCAGAACCTAAATAGTAGAAATTTGAATTATTATGACCAGATTTATGTAGATAAACTTACATACGACTTACTGATTGGCTGGCTTTTTGTCTGTGGGTGTGTGTGGTTCTTAATTTGTATATCACTGCTGTCGGAACAAAACCTTGTATCTCAATTTTTGTCGTTCTTCAGTTTTTGATATCATTTGAAAGCGGCCGTTGCCTTTTACATCATGTGTGAATTTCATGATGAACAGACCAAAAGAAATGACCCAAAATGGCTTAAAAAGTCTGGTTCCATTGATTTAGATTTAAAGTGAAGTATGTTTTTTTTTTCTCCTGTAAAGTTACCGTTTTGGAGACACAACGTTTTGCTCCACCATCAGCGATAAGTTAATCTGTAAATATCATTAAATTCCATCTTCCTTAGTTCAGTTTATCTTAGCTTGCTCTAAGTATTTGCATATGTTGCACCGATGTTTTGTTTAAGCGCTGTCTGATGATACACAGTTCTGTCATCGTTTGTACATTTGTATGATTCTATTAGTTCTATCTGCACAAAATGAATAAATAAATAAATAAATAAAGCCAAAGTAATAAATCAGTTCACTAAACATAATTTGGTTATGCTTATTTAATGCTTTCATTAAGTATTAAGATATATGTTATTCTTTGTTAAATTCATGTATTAGTAATTGATCAGTAAACAGTCATATGCAAAAACACCCCCAGTCATAGTTCACGCTTTGTTGATTTTCAAAGTGAAAATAAGTTAATACATCCTCCACCAGGAACACACTTAACTATTGTTTTTTAATGCAAATTTTACTGCCTAATTTTTTTATTTACTGAGTTTAACATACTGGGGGGGGGATAAAATGTAATGTGTGCCATAACTTTTGCACAGGCCACATTTTATGTTAAATTTAGTAAATAAACAGTAATTAGGCATTTAAATAAAGGCACTGTAGAGGATGTGTGAACCTACTTTCACTTAGAAAATCAACAAAACATTTGGGCGCCCAAACTTTTGCATACACGAGACTGTAACACCTTAAACTGACTTTAAAAAAATTACCTCACTTTTATTAAGTAAATTAACAAATAATTGTCAGGTTAAGCCTAAAAAAGTATCTTTTAAAACATTAAATTCATTATGTGAAATATCAGTTTGTTAAAAAATTCATATAAATTTGTAGTAAAGAATTCTGTTACCACTTATAGTGTATGTATTTATGTTGTGGCTCAGTGATAATAAATAAATAAATAAATAAATAAATAAATAAAGGTCATAAATAGGTTTATTTTTTATATAATTCAACAGCAAAAGCTTTTGCCATGTGCTATTCAAACATCAGAAGGTGTCTTGTGTTTTATTTCAACTAACAGATGAAACTATAAAATAAAGGCTAGTTATTGACAGTGTTTTCTCTACTGGAAGCCCAACTGAAAGTGCAGGCCTACCCGACTGTGTCTCCTCTTACAGGTGATTCATTCTGACACAGTGTAGTTATGCAATGAGTTTAATCACCGCTTCTGAAATATCTTGCTTGACATCATTTTGAATGATCTTTTAATACTGTGGAATGCTTTTGAACTTCTGTTGTTCTTCAATGTTACTTTATCTTGACATATTTATGAAAATGAGAAAGAACCTGCTCTGGTTCTACACTTGTGTGTAGTGACACTGCTGTTCAAAAGTTTGGAGTCACTATTTTTATTAAAACCAATTTTGTTGCAGGTCCACATAGAAAACAGTTCTATTAAGATACTACTATTCTATAAAGTCAAGTTTCAACCAATCAGTAGGGAGCTATAAAAAATGAAGACATATTAGATTAGGTGCCTCAGATATGAAAAGTGGTGATCAGATCCAGGAATTACTGTTTAGATTATTGCAGTGTATTTGTCAGTTAATTAAGGTTTTGCTGTTGCCAAAAAGCTTGAAATATTAAAGGGTAATAATTTGATCGTTGAATGTAAACAAAGTAATTCAGAGTGGTTGGGTGTGGGATGGTTGCTTGTAGAGACTCAGATTTCTTTACAGTGGTGGTGATAGGAACCAGGGGTCGCCAGGACTACAACACAAATATAGACATTTTATTTACTGTCCAAAACCACCAGTGGACCTACGTGTATCTTCAGAGTTTTTAAATGTAATGATGTTGATGGTGAAACTGGTAAATCTGATAAAACAAGTTGTCTTTGGTGACTGTTTTGCTTTACGTGTACTCCTCTGCCATGAATAGATTAAAAAAATGCAATTTGGGCCAAAAGCTTATCTCGAAACTTTCATAAATCGATGTCTCGGACATCACGCACCATTTTCATAAATGTTTCATGTAATAGCTCTCTGTGAGGGAGCTTCTCAAGGCTTCGAACGTCTGGTTCCTATCACCACCACTGTGAACAATTCTGGCTCTGAGTTTCTCTAGTTTCACACCAAACCACTCTGAATGACTTTGTTTACACCTTAAAAGATTGATATATGCAGATATTTTGACAAATCTGTAGATTTCTCTCTTTAAAATACCTTCTTTTGTTTAGCTAATAGTATATCGATCTACACTGTATATGTTAATATTGAATAACAGTTATCATTTAAACTTTTCAATGGTTGTGTATCATGTATCTTTCATTTTGGATCAAACTTGTATTTATCATATTTTTGACTGTTCTTCCTAGGCTACAGTAAGACATTCAGACGAGGGGAAGCTCAGTTTCCGACTCGTCCTCCAAGCCGAGTGGTTTTCCCCGCTGGACAGGCTCATCCTAGCGTTCGGATGCATTTGTCACTAGATACTATGAACATGGTGGACGACAGCTGCCTCTCGCCCGGCAACTTCCACGAGATGGTAAAAGGTGGCGTGGCAGCCATCGGCACTCGTGTCCACAGCATCGATGTCATCCTGGGCTTCACTAAGGACCAGGGCCCATTACTCAATCCTGGAGCCAACACTGTGCCTCACAAAGTTGGAGTGGAAAGTTTAGGAGACCCTGGAAAGCAGGATCACCCAGCACACCCATACGGACACATGCCTCTGAGGGACAACAATGAGCAACCTGCTTTTCATGGTGAGTTCCCCAAGGGTGTACCTTGGGGCCTTTTATGTTTTCCCCCAATACACACACACACACACACACACACACACACATATATATATATATATATATATATATATATATATATATATATATGTGTGTGTGTGTATAATATTATGTATATATGTATATTATGCTATTGGTTGTAGAGATAAGAGGAGTGTGTAGTTCTCACAGTCCCAGAAGTCTGTCTTTTCACAGTTGAACATTATTAAAAGTGATGACAGCATTGGAAGTCTAGTGGAGACCTGTGTTTTCCTTGCACTTTGCTGAACTTCTCGTTGTTTCGACACAGTGGTGGCATTGGGCCAGGGTATTAGTGCCTTTACCTTAAATAACCTCACCAGCTTTATCTTTTCATCTGCAAATGTGCCAAGTTTATAGGTCTAAATAGATTAAGAGTAGCGATGTATTAGTTTAGGCTGTTGCTGCTTTTGCATTAGCTGGTCTATTACAGAAAACATTGTAATAGAGAGGCCATGCATCAAGGTGGAAAGATGTTTAGGGAGAAAACATAGAAACGTACTTATTTCATCTTATTACTTCTTATAGGATCAGTTTTAGGATCAGTTTTACAGACCCAGATTAAGCCCAGTGGCATTCCACTTTAGTCCAGAAATAGGCTTAATCTGTGTCCAGACCCAAAGATCTCACTCCATTTTACAATTTGTAAGATTTTTAGAGCTAAAGCTCTTAATTTCCAGTCAAAACAACTATTAAATACAGGCTTTTTCAAGCATCAGAAAAAGCTGAAGACATATATTTAACAGAAACTACACAGAAACCTCAGCAGCTAAATAGAATATCATTTAGTGTGACCTGCATTGAGTTTTTCAAATATATTTGCAAGGATATTTTTCCACATCTCCAAAGTTCAGTTTTAGAAGTTGTTTTCATTGTCCGTTTGTCAAGATCCAAGCAATCCCAATTACAATCCCAGCTTCTTGACAGCTACACATCCTTTCAGACCCATAGCGCTGAGTCGTCTTCTCACAGTGGAAGGATGGACAGAAACACCAGTCAGATCTGAAGCAGCTTGATTTTCTCCTCTCTCTCAAAGATGAAAGCTTTATTTTTATCTGATGGGGGGCAGTTTTGGTGTCTACCAGGTCTTCCAGGTGGTTGTTAGGAGCCACATTTTCTCTGTATCTTTTAATCATTTTTTTTAACTCAGTTTTGGAAACTCCTGTGTTTTCACTTTGACTTTCTCCATCCTTGTGCAGGTGGAATATTTTATATCTAGTCTAGTCTCAGAAATATCTCCTGAAAAATGCATAACTTTTACTTAATGGCTGTTTTGACTAGAAATTAAATAAATAAAGGTGGTCTTTTGCACAAGTAAAAAAAAAACTTCTCCTGAAATGCATTTTTCACAGCTCTGAAGCTCTAAAAATGGGCTCATATTGTCCTGTCTTACAGCGACAGCTAAATCTCTAAATAAATTGGTGAGAGGCCTCATCCACAATCTGATCCCCTCGTGGAATTCCCCCTAATCTTTTCCTGCACACAAATGAGATTGCACAACGGTGCGTACCCGCAAATAATTATTTTTTCTTTCATTTTTTTTATTTGGTCCGTAATCTGTCTTTCTTTTCAGGCTGTGAGATGAGAGCACCTTTTAGAACCTAGATCTCATGGCAGGGAGAGTTATCCAAGCTCTGGGTTGGAGTAGATCACTGGCATTGCTAGCGACCAACCAGGATGAGTTCCTTGCCTGTCCTGCTCGCTGTAGGTGGAAGTGAAGTTGACTGGCTCACTTTTGATGGTAGATGGCTAAAAACATCATTCAAATTTATTCAAATAGAACGCACCTTTACATCATTCCAGTATTTCACCTTCCTTTATACAATAAATGGACCATTTATTCTGTTTTGGTGCCTGCGTTTGTATCAGTGCACCACCTCTGATAGCAGTACGCTTTAGAAACATGAGATCTCTTAAAATGTGCTTTTAATATGGATTTTGGGTTAATGCCACTGAGTTTTAAAACCCTTCTGCATAGTTCAGTCATTGAGATCCAAGTCATTCGGAGTGGTTTGATGTGAAGATTTCATTGTTGAGAAAATTGCAGACTCTTTACAGTGGTGGTGATAGAAACCAGGGGTAGCAATGTCTACAACACAAATACAGCCATTTTATTTAGCATCAAACACAGCCAGTGAACGTACACATGTCTGAGTTTTCATATGTAATGTTCACAATAGTAAAATAGTGATAACCTTGTTTTTGGGCGGGGGGCGGGCGGGGGCATTTTGCCTTACAGTGCTCTGCATATGCCTGTCCACCATGAATAGATTAAAAAATATGTTTTAAAATAATGTTTTAAGTGAATTCATAACCATCTCTGATGCAGCTTTTAGAGGCGTTAAACTCTAGAGATGTCAGGTTCCTATCACCACCACTGTGAACAATTCTGATGCTGTCAGTTCTCTAAAACAGAGAATTTCATGTCAAATCTAAATAAATGAATGACTGAATGCTTATACATTAATGATTTAATTATGCTGAAATTTTGAAAAATGAGTGGAATTCCCCTTTAAAGTGTTCTCGACACATATTGGCCTTCATTTACTTTCGCTTTCATTCACTTTTTCATTTTACTCATGTACAAACACCAGATTTATTTGCTTTATATGTGAATAAAATCTGATGCTGAAATTGATGCTGTTGGTCACATATTATTTTGAGTCCACAGCAGATTCTGAACTTTAAACCTAAACCCTAAACCCAATCCTGATATTCAAGTAGCTTGTTAACAACTAAAGCATCTGTAGGTAATCTATAATGTACTACCAGAATAAACGTGGCCCAGTTTGAATGTATTTGTGCTGCTAAGACTGAGAGAAAAGGCCGAGAGTGTCACCAGGGTCCGAGTCTGAGGTTATCTGTCGAAGACGGTCTTGACCCACTGAAATGACTGCGTTCTCCTCAAGTTGCCAGCGAGTCTGAGCGCTTTTATTGAGAAGTCCGGCTCCTGACAGGCAGCGTGGTGATCCCTGACCAGCCCTGACCTCCTCATTGTGTTAATTCAGGCTCTGCCATAGTCTCTTAATGAGCGTGGACTCAGCAGCCCTGACGCTTTCGTTCCAGCCTGTTGATTAAAGCTTTCCTTTCTGTGCCATCTTCCATTCGGGCAGTGTTTACTGCAGGGTTCCCTCTGATTACTAGATCACAGCCTGTTCAGCCACAAGACATTGCTAAGCTAGTTCTTTAAAGCATAATTAGCGTCTAAGAGTGGAAAGCTGTTAGCTTTGTTAGCTGGAACTAGAGATTATAGAGATTATTAGCGCCATCAACTTGGTTTGCTAACCAAAAATCTGCACACTTGTTCAGTGAAAATTACTGTTCAGAGAAAATCATTTATCTGCCTGATCTTACTTGAGTAATCAGATGCACTTTAATTAGCACGCATATCGCTGTTGTCGGACCTCGTATCTCCATTTTTGACATTTTCCAGTTTTTAACATAATTTGAAAGTACCTGTTGCCTCTTAGATTGTTTGTAAATTTCATGACAAATGGACTAAAAGAAATGACCCTAAATGACTTGGAAAAAAATCTGGTTCCATTGGCTTACATTGAAGGTAAAGTAGGTTTTTTCCTTCTCCTGTAAAGTTCTCATTTTGGAGATACGAGGTTTTCTTCAGACAACAGCGATATGTTTCTGTTTCCGAGTAGCAGATGGCTAACTAAGCTAATTCACCCAGGCAGTCATCTTTGCACTTGACATAATTAACTCACTGTAACTCCCAATTATCTTTTTGGACCGGAGTTTGTGAAGTTCTTTCTTAGAAACGGTAGCGATATCCTCCGGCCAGGCCTGTGTAGAATAAAAGCCTGAGCTAGATTAGAGGCCGGGTCTGCAAGGAGGCTATCAAGGGAATTAGCAAGTAGCATCTGTTCCTACTCAGATTAGAAGGTGGGAAACTCTTAGTGAAAGCCGCATGGACATGCTTGTGCGAAGTGACATTTGTGCTATTGTGTTAAGCACGTGCTATGAGTGGACACCAAGGGTCATGATATGTATTGTACATTTTCATCTATTGATTATGTGGCTACTGATAGATATACAGTACTGTGCATACGTACTGTATATCTATGAGAGCACCTTGTCAAAATGGCCATTAAATACAAGTTTTTAGAGATACTTTTAAGCAATGGTGGACGAAATACACAAATCATGTACATGTACCAGTAAAAGTAGAAGTTCCTCCCTTTAGACCTCCACTTGAGTAAAAGTACAAAAGTATTTGCCTTCAAATGTACTTAAGTATCGAAAGTACTTAAGATTAATTATGGCTCTGATGTCCTATTATCATTTTTGTAACAGGACTCTTGTATTATTAACTCATTTTAGGTGAAAATACTCCAGTGTCAAAATTATCATAAGCACAAAACACTGAAGGCAAACAGTTTCCATCAGGTAGAACTGAGTGGCTCTGAAATCACTTTCAGAAAAAAGAAACACGTCAGTCACAACTGCATATGAGTACATATTTCTATATTGTGGTCTATTTACACAAAGTTAGGTTAGTTCATCATTAATGTTGAACAGACTCTCCCAAAATTTTACGCTGCTGCTCTGATGTTGACCCGTGTGCTTGCACTGGGTCGGTATGACCAACAGGTCAAAACAAGCTCAAACAAAGTGCGCTGTGCCCTGATTGGTGTTCTTGCTTCACACTTCTTTCGTTTTGACATGTTATGTTTTTATGCACACATAAACCAAAAGGAGCGACAGATTTCTCATAATGTAGTGGAGTAAAAAGTGAGATATCTGACTTTGAAATGTAGTGGAGTGAAAGTAAAAAGTGGCCCAAAATGGAAAAACTTCAGTAAAGTACAGATACACAAAAAACTACTTAAGTACAGTAACGAATTACATTTACTTCGTTACTGTCCACCACTGCTTCTAAGGAGATTAGATATAAAATAATCAACTGGAAAGATGTGTAGCTGTCAAGAAGCTGTTACTGAGAAACGTATATTAGAACATTTGCAAGTCAAACAAAGAAGCTGCTGCTTTTCTCAGAACAATGGACTGACCACCCCAGAGTCAGACCACCTCCAGACCTCAGCATCACTGAGTGGGTTTGATTACTTGGATTGTGAGAAGCAGAAAGTGCTAAACCAACTTCTAAGACTGAACTTTGGAAAATTATCCCTGAAAAATGGAAAGCTTGTCTCCTGAAAAGAAATGCATACATTTCCTTAGAAATATTGTCTTTGTTATGTTTGTGTCTCTTCAGACGCTGAAATATTCTCCAATAAGTGTGAGGGTGAGCTGGGAGAGGTGAGGAAGTCGTCCGATAGTGACAGGAAGTCTCCGGAGCAGGGGGATGAGGAACAGCCGAAGAAGAAGCACCGGCGGAATCGGACCACCTTCACTACCTACCAACTCCACGAGCTGGAGCGGGCCTTCGAGAAATCCCACTACCCCGACGTCTACAGCCGCGAGGAACTGGCCATGAAGGTCAACCTGCCTGAGGTTCGAGTGCAGGTGGGTTTATAATACTTCTTGTGAAATGTCTTTACAATATTTATTGCTTATAACAAACATTTATATGGTTTATAACAGAATCAGTCTTCCTGCAGTGACTAATCTTAAGTGAAAGACTTGTATTAGACCACTTTAGCTTTTTTTAACTGAAATGATCCTGTGCTTAAACACAAATGGAGTCCTTTTCTCAACCACTTCAGTTATTATGTTCTCCGGTGAATATGTCAGTTAGCACTGACAAGCTAAAGATGTTTTGAGGTTAATAAAGTACATTTATATAGTTTATAACAGTTTATTACGCAACACTCTTTCCATGGAGACCCATCCTCAAGCAGGCTGTGCTCAGGTCAGTGATATATATATATATATATATATATATATATATATATATATATATATATGATGGATATATGTACATTTCACACATTATATAAATCTGCCTATTCAGTCTACAGCAGTTTAGCCCTGCCCACTTACTGACATTATAAGGAGTGTTTCAGCCTGGACTGCTTTTTTAATGAGACACAATACAGAACAGCCAATCAGAACAGAGCTTATTTACAGATATCAATCTTAAAGGCGCAGTAACAAAAAAGGCTGTTTAATTCTAAATAAAATAAAGAGAGGTTGAATAATGGTCATGTAAAAATTATTTTTTTTGTTCATTAAATGACAATTAACGCTATAAGCGGGCCTCAAAGGGGAAAAATTAAATGCAAGAAAAATGTAGCCCGTTATTTGTAAACATATGAGTCTGCAGCATTAGCACAAGCTGCTTTAAAGATGCATTGTGATTGCACAAAGAGATTTCTAGAATTATGTCATTGTCTATAAACCATGGCTTCATCACATTTGTATTGCAGCAATGGCATGTATTTGTAAAGCTTGTTATTGCCTATTAAACTGATAGTATGTAATAAGGAAGTTGCACATCCTGCAACTTTATTTATCTTTTTTGTTATAACAGTACAGAGAGCTAATCTTTCTAGCTCTCAGTGTCTGCTGCCCTGAGTAGTAAATCTGCAGGTCACTTTTTTATGCATGTAATGAGGTGCTAGTTCATTTAGTATAGCTGCTTGCCTGGTTCACTGAATGATCCAACCGTTTATTTATATGAACAGAGTTTGGCTCAGTAAATAAGAATATGATCCACTCTGATCCACTCGTGCCAGCGCAACACACACTAACACACCACCACCATGTCAGTGTTACTGCAGTGCTGAGAATGATCCACCACCCAAATAGTACCTGCTCTGTGAGGGTCCATGGGGGTCCTGATCACTGAAGAACAAGGTAGTAAAGTATGCAGAGAAACAGATGGACTACAGTCTGTAACTGTAGAACTACAAAGTGCACCTATATAGTAAGTGGAGCTGATAAAATGGACAGTGAGCGCAGAAACAAGGAGGTGGTCATAATGTTATGCCTGATCGGTGTATAAAGTGAACAATGTACAATATTGAACAGGTTTGTCTTGTGTGGTTGAAATGCAGTTAGTAAGAAAGTGCTCAGAGCTGCCATTGAGCAGTGGAGTTTATTGTGGAGTGTAGGAATGAAGTTCATAAGGCATTGTAATGTGCTGTGAGGACGCTCCTGTATCATGACTTCAGTTTAGGACAGCAGACCTCACTGTGTCCCTTTGGCTCAGGAGTACAGACATTCTAGGACAAAAGTTCAACAGTTGAACTTGCCTCACTGCTGGCCAAACAGGAAAGTGAATGTGTTGAGAAGTCTTAGGATATGATTTATGCTGTTCGACTTCTGTTTTTTCATGTATTTTAATGTATTTTGCCTGAATAGTGTTGGTGTGTTGCCTTTATCATGTCTAACAGGCCTAATGTGAGATTCTTTAAATAAAGTCAAAGTAATGGATTTTGCAGTTTATTTTCAAAATAAAAGTCACAAATTTAGTTTCTTTTGTTGCAGTTACTGCCTTTAAAGAGAGTCCTAACTTTTTAAATAACCCATTATTACAGCAGTTTAATAAAGTTAATAAAAAGTAAAAATATTTGAAATTGCTCTTTATTTTCAAAATAAGAGATCAAAATCACAAATTTTACATTCATTATAGCTGTTAGCTTCAGACAGCACCAACACAAACCCTTTCTGATTGGGCACTCTTGTGGTACTCTTGCTTTACTGAAGCTCATGTTTTCCTCCAGGTCTGGTTCCAGAACCGTCGGGCCAAATGGAGGCGGCAGGAGAAGATGGACGCCAGCGCCGTGAAGCTCCATGACTCACCCATGCTGTCCTTCAACCGGCCACCCATGCACACCAATGTAGGGCCCATGAATAACTCCCTGCCCCTGGACCCTTGGCTGACCTCTCCTCTGACCAGCACCACGCCTGTGCACAGTATTCCAGGCTTCATGGGGCCTGCGCAGGGCCTGCAGGCGGGCTACCCTGGCCACGGATTCCTCAATACGCCCCAGCCCATGGGCCAGAGCATGCAGCCCATGGCCCCGCCCCCCTACCAGTGTCCGGCAGCTTTTACTGACAAATACCCGCTGGAGGACGTTGACCAGCGCAGCTCTAGCATCGCCTCGCTGAGGATGAAAGCCAAGGAACACATTCAGTCCATGGACAAAACATGGCAACCCATGTGACAGTTGTGGCAACACTTGCTGGACTGACACGCTTTCAGGATTTGTTGTGTTTGGACCTTGTGAGTGGACACGAGGCAGGTTAATGAATCAGAACCAACCAGAGCACTGTGTTCTACTTTGAATCTGGGATAATGTCTCATCATCCCAAGCCTGTGGTGAAGCGATTAAATGTGGGAAGTAAATGAGTAAAATGCCACAATATTTATTTTTCTATTGGATAAGGGTCTCAAGCTACATTTTTGACACCTGAAAAAAAACAAAAAATTGGACGTTTTTACGACAAAACAATTGGTACGTTGCTATTTTCTGTCTCTTTGTCTTAGATTACATTTGGCGAGTTCTTTACCTCTAATGTTTTTTAATTGAGGCTCAAATAGTCTGCTTTTTTCCTCCTCCACCAAGCCCACACTTATAAGACGTCTGGCAATAATTTAAGCTAGCTGGTTTTGTTGCAGCGTACAATACACAGTGTTGTGAAAGAAAAAGCTGAGATCAGGAGTAGAGGCGCACTACAGAAAGGCCAGGTCCTCACTGCCTCCATGAAAGTTCATACTGTTGCAAGCCAGGCCTCTATAACATCCCAAAGACTGTGAAGAAAACAAACTTAAAGAATGCCTTGAAGGTGCTTTTTTGACTGTTGCAAAGCTGGATAGGCCATTTTTATTGCTGCACTATGTAAATTTTTGCTAAAATTGAAAGAAGGAGGGAAAAAAGGCTAAAATATGCTGCGAGTCGCCCTTCACAGCCTGAAATAATCATTTAAAAGTCAGTGGCGTCGGGTTGGGAGTTTTTCATACCACATCGTACATCTTTAAATATGAACAGGCTCAAAAAGAAGGTCCGGCTCGATGTTTAGATCTCAAGTGCAAAATTAACAGTAAACAAGATAGAACAGCAATAGTAGTTAATCCGCTCACATCTTCAGAAACATATCCTTCACAAAATTTTGACTTTTGAACTCTTTGAACTCTCTTTCAGTCATCAGATTCATCCACCTGTTGGGGCCCGATGCATTGCAAAATGTTTATCCACATGTTGCTTGCATTTACACATTAACACCAGAGAGGTCTCCAAATCCCCAGATCTTACTTAGTGCAGCCCTAAATTACCAGCATTTCTGCCCTTTCTTTGTTCTCTTCAGCTCTCCAGAACACACTGGACAATATAAGGGAGCAAATTTACTACAAAATAACATGGAGTTGGTTTCCCAGTCAGGGATTAAGCCTAGCATTCTGAATGGAGGTTGAAAATGTAGTCCAGGACTAGGCTTAATCCCTGTCTGGGAAACCAACCCTAAATGTTTGGTTTAAATGATATATGAGCAGTTTCGAAGAACCACACTCTTAAAAATAAAGACGCCAAAAAGGGTTCTTTAGAGCGTCGCAATAGAAGAAACTTTTTTGGTTCCCTAAAAAACTTTCAATGGATAATTAGTTAAAAAGCCATAGAGCTTTTTAAATAAGCCAAATGTGCAAGTGTGAAGAATCCTCTTTAAGTCTAAGAACCACAATGTAAAGGTTCTATACCAATTCAAGAAGAACCTTTATTGCTAAGAGCATAAACAAGATATTAACACTAAGGGCAGCGTTCATTAGGCCACATGACACCTACATAAGCCTTTTATGACAGCTGACATCACAGAAGCATATATAGGCTTATTTCAGCAAACACATGCTGAGGTGAAATTGCATCAAGCAGCCTGCATGACAACTGATGCTTGTTTAAGTAGGCCTTTGTAAATGTTTATGTACATTTATGCCAGCCATGAAAGGTTTATGTAGGTGTCGTGTTGCCCTATGAATGCTGGCCTTCAGTAAAGCATTACCAAGAGGATGGTGAAGGTGCCACTATTGCAGTTTTGTCTAGGACTAGGCTTAATCCATCGCCAAAAAACAGTCTAACAGCTAAAGATGCTTATGTATTCAGAAAACATGAAGATGGCTGTATTGTCTTCAGAAAGAGAGCTAATGCGAGGTGCAAGGCAGCTTGTGTAGCCATATGACTCCAGCTGGGGGGTTGGGGGGGGGGCACCTCTTAACACCCACTTAACTTACTTAAACCTGATTAATTCTTAATTCACTTGACTGGCAGGTGCTTCAGAGAGACAGCACAAAGACATCAGAGCTGTCAGGCAAACGGCAGGAAAAAACAAAAGTCTTTTTTGACTGAGGACATAACCCCACTCCTCCACCCCACCCCCCACTCCCAGGCGTAATGAACACAGTAGAGATGGGGCTGTCCGGGTGAGGGGTCATTCAGAAAGGCCTGCATGCCTCAGTGCTCGTTAGAGGAGAAGACCTGTTGGCAGGCCGGACCGTGAGTGACCTTTACGTGCCGGGGAGCCGTCTGCTGGGTCACCAAATCCTCGCTGTTCAGCTCAGACGACCCAAACCCGGCCTTTTGTTTCAGCTTCTATAGGCACAGAAAAGGAACAAAACAGTCACCGAACAACTAATAAGGCTTTTGCTGCTGAATAACTGGCAAAACTGACTGATTTGGGTATGAAAGGACTTTTTTTCATACGTTGTTGAATGTACGGATACAATAAAACATTTTGCTTGTATGTGCAGAGGTGGGTAGAATAGTCTAAACCCATACTTAAGTATTACTACTTAATACTTTAATTAAATATTCTCTTTTGATTCGAGCCGAAAAGCGTTCATTGGAGCAATGCCATAGAAGACCCACTTTTGGTTCCCTTAAGAACCTTTTAGGTGGATTGTAAATGACGTGTGAATGTGAAGAACCTTCTGTTCTTCTCTTTTTTGATCTTTTTGGTCTAAAATAGAGTGAGAGGTGTGAGCAACAGGAAAGCAGTCCAGGAGCTGGACCAACATAACAGAATGAAATTAAATCCAAAAAAGAAATTAATAAATAATTGGAACAAAAGTGGAGCAGAGGAAAAAAAAAGTACACTACCTCCCTCATAAATATATTTAAAAAAAAATACACATATACACCACTGTGCAAAAGTCACAACCCCCCCTTCATTTATTCAATTTCCTGTCAAAGTACAAGGTATTCATAATATATCGCTGCTGTTGGAACAAAACCTCGTATCTCCAAAATGGTAACTTTACAGGAGAAGGAAAAAACTACTTTACTTTTAATGTAAGTCAATGGAACCAGACTTTTTTCCAAGTAATTTTGGGTCATTTCTTTTGGTCCAATCATGGTCAAATTAACACACAATGTGAAGCACAACAGGAATTTTCAGATTTTGTCAAAAACTGAAAAATGAAAAAAATGGAGATACGAAGTTTTGTGCCAACAGCAGCGACATATTTAACAGTAAACTACGCAGAGGTCTCAATAACTACATATCTTTTTAGTTTCCTTTTATTACAGCTCCCATTCTTTTTAGGAGATTTGCTTTCAATTTTTCCAAAGAAATCTGCAGGGATAGATTTTTCACACGTCCAAAGTTCAGTCTTAGAAGTTGGTTATGTTTTCCAAGTAATCCCATTCAGTGATGTTGAGGCCTGGGTGGTCAGTCCATTGTTCTGAGAACACCAGCATCTCTTAAAGATGAAAGCTTTTAGTGTTGTTTATCTGGTGGGGACAGTTTTGGTGTCTCCCAGGTGGTTGTTAGGAGTCCCATTTTCTCTGTATGTTTTAATGATTCCAAGTTTGGAAACTTTTTTCATTTATTTTCCTTTGACTTTCTCCTTCTTTATGTGAGTGGATTGTCTTATCTGCTCAGAAACATCAAAAAATTAATAGCTTGTACCTAATGATGGTTTTGACTGGAAATCAAGTAAATCAATAGTGATCTTGGGCTTTTACACAGTGAAAGTATCCTAATTTTACTTAAGCACATGTAACTGAGTGGAACTAGTTACTACCCACCTTTGTTTACATCTTTATGGTGCACTAAGATCACATTGGCCGTCTTTTATTGCTACAATTTCAATCATACCCACTTTCTTATTGTCCTGTGCATCATATGCCAGGCATGTTGCATTATTTTCTTACATCATATAGCTGAGGCATATGGATTTTCAGCTGACTATAATTGTATTCTGCCCTAATCTTCACAAAAATCGAATCCAAGTGTGACATGACAATCATCTTTGATAATAACACAGAAGTGCAACTTATTTGAAAAGGAAACTCTCACAGACTGTATTGTTGACGTTCAGTAAACAGGCTTTAGCGGAGGAATGCGTATTTGTCTGAATGCTGCAAAGTTTGATTCTCATCACTTTTGAGAAACTTTGTGAAACTCCATAAAAATGAAGTGGCAGTTTTGGTATAAAAATATTTTCATACTTCCTGTTTTCATTTTCGTGCTTTCAGTCTTCCAGGTTTTAGTCCTCTGCCGGCCGTTCCTGCTCACACACATTCCTGCTACTTCGTGGAGAACTTTCAGGGTTTTGTATTTTTTAAAAAATGCTGTTATGATTTTGTTATTTTAGTAATTTGTGCTTTTTGCTTCCCGTCTCCCACTTTTGTTGTCTGAACAATCTTCGGCTCACAGGGAGAATCTGTGAGATTTAGGAAACAGGCACGTGTAGATAATTCAGCCCTGAATTAAAGAATAAGCCAAAGGTTAGAAAACTGAAATATGCAATAGATGATTGGGTAAATGGTGTTTGTGTGTTCTTATTTTGTCCAAAAAGCTGTACAGAAACTCGTCCTTACTTAGCCATTTGTAACGTGCTAGCTGTTTTACAGTTTCCTTTGATTATGAACTGAATTTGTCCATAAATATGTCTTGGAATAAACAAATCTAGTTTGATAGAGCTTGTTTCTGTCCTCAAGTTGAACTTTGTCGTTCCTGCAGTTAAGCTCCTCTGGAAGTCCAGTGCTGCATTTCACACAAAACAGCAGAAGACTACGGAGACAACAAGTGCAATAAGTACAGATAAACTACTGTCTGTAAACCACTGTGGGCATTTATTGTATTTACTGCCCCTCTTGTTCTGGGGAGGGCGATATGATGATATGATATCATCATCACGACAAATGTCACAAAATGCTTTTCCATGCATTGTGGG